CGGATTTCTAGTTTATGGCCTCTTCCTATTCATTTGTTCAACAAGATCTAGATCTAGATTTATTAAGATTATTATATCTAGATCTAGATCTAGATCTATATATGGAGGATTCATATTTCAATTCTATTGTATTGTATCAAACCCTACAGCAATGTAGATGTAAGCCATGTAGATCTAGATCTATATATGCTCTTTGTTTGTTTTGGAGTGTGGTTTTTTTCATTTAGGACTTGTTTTGGCCTTTTTACATGAGGCCCGTTGCAGGTTCTTTTTGGGGTTAGGGTTAGGTCTCTTCTTTATTGTGTTTGTTGGGGTGGTCGCTCGTTACTCGGATGTCCTTCCTTATGACACCCACAAAGGCTTTTTTTTTGGGGGGGGGGGGTTGGGGTTGCGCCAAATTTTCCGACAATCTGGTTGAGGCTCACATGCAGGTCTATATTATGTAAAATAATTATGTTCACTGTCTGACCTTCAGTTCAGTTCTCATTTACGTATTAATTATATTCACACCTCGAGTTCAAAGTTGATTTAATTTACACTCTTAAATTGATGTTTTCTATTTTCGAAGTACAGTCCAACATGCTCCAACAGCCACATGTATTATAGGTAATCATCTGTACCAACGATCCCTTCCCATTTTTCCCCTTTGCATTTTCTGGAAAAAAATGACACTGTAAGATGGCCAACTGTCTAAGATAACTTCCCTACTTTTCTCCTCAACAACGAGTGCCTGTCATAGACAAATTTGGCTGTTACATGTTCTTTGTCTGACCGCAGTTCTCATTACATTCTCTGGCATTTGATATTATATAACGCAACTTCAAAGCTGGTTAACATTTTTGAATTGGTACATTTTCTGTGTTAGAATAACTTAACTTAGGTGGGTTGTTGTAAGATGTTATTTTCCAAAATTATGAGCAGTGCACAATGTTCATCGAAGATAATGTTTTTATTTTGGTAAGGAGACCTAGAATTATATTATTTTTAAAGATTTATAGCATTTCCTGTTGAATATATATATTGTTGTGTTCCATTTCCTAGCAACAACAGCGGGTGGCCCCGGTGGTTTCAACTTCAGCGGTACCCAGGGGCAGAACCAGACGGCCAATGCCTCCACAGGCGGTGGTGGTGGTGGCTTCTCCTTCGGGGCGCCCGCGGGCGGGGCGGGCGTGGCTGGAGCTCCCTCGGCAGCCAGCAGCGGCGCAGGCTTCAGTTTCTCCTCACCGGGCTCTGGAACCGGCGGTGCTCCGACCACTGGGTTTGGTTTTGGCGGCGTGGCTGGGACGGGTGGCGCCCCAGGAGGAGCACCACCCCCTGCTGCTCAGTCCACTGCGGCGGCGGGAGGAGGAGGAAGGGGCTTCTCTCTGGGCGGGATGGGGGGCGGCCAACAGGCGGCGTCCACCGGGGGATTCAGTCTCGCCGGTTCTGGGGCAGGAGGGCAGACCACCTCGGCTGGGCCGGGATTCTCTCTGAGTGGTCAGACGACCTCGGCTGCGCCGGGATTCTCTCTGGGCGGGATGGGGGGCGGCCAACAGGCGGCATCCACCGGGGGGTTCAGTCTCGCCGGTTCTGGGGCAGGAGGGCAGACCACCTCGGCTGGGCCGGGATTCCCTCTGGGTGGTCAGACCACCTCAGCAGGGGCAGGGTTTTCTCTGACTGGTCAGACGACCTCCGCGGGAGCGCCACAACCTTCAGGGTTTGGATTTGGAACGACGACCGCTGCAGCAGCTACCTCAACAGCAGCCACCGGGGCTGGGGCGACCCCGAGTCTAGGGCTGGGTGGATCTATTTTTGGCGCTAAATCAGCGGCCACTGCAGCGACTACTTCTGCTTCGACTGGTTTTACTGGATTTGGTAAGCATTGACAGCAATTCTTCAAGCGGATAGTGTGAGATAGATTCTATACAGTATTTTCTCTGTGTCTTTATAAGTTGATGTGATGTCCTATTGGATGAATGTAGCTTTACATCTTGCTGTATTTTTTAAAATCCCATGTTTTGCACTCTACCAACTTTCCCTAAAATCAACCTGAGTTTTTCAACCTGACCCACAGTTCAGCCACTGTGTAACACTCTGTTTTCACCCTCTGCGGGGAGTCCTTATTTAATTTTTTACTCACACACGTTCTAACAAGACATTTCATGAACTTTTGTTCCATTAACGACTTGTTTTTATGGTTCTGAAAAAATTTCACTAACATTCTGATTCTCAGTTCTGTTTTTCTTGAAAGAAAAGTCGGAGAGGTTCCTCAGTTATAAACATTAAATTATTTGCCCTTGGAAGACTGAGTTGTGGGTTAAGTTGACGACAGGCCACTTAAATTTTTTGGTTTTTTTAATCAGCTATTTTGATTTTGATAATTTCTATCTCTACATCTATTGTCCTTATCTCTCCTCCTTCTTTCCTATCACTGTGTCCTTATCTCTCCTCCTTCTTTCCTATCACTGTGTCTTATCTCTCCTCCTTCTTTCCTATCACTGTGTCTTATCTCTCCTCCTTCTTTCCTATCACTGTGTCCTTTTATCTCTCCTCCTTCTTTCTTATCACTGTGTCCTTATCTCTCCTCCTTCTTTCCTATCACTACATTTATTGTCCTAATCTCTTCTCCTTCTTTTCTTTTTCATACACTCTCTATAACACCTCCTGTCTTGAGTACTTGCGTAAAACTCTCACTAGGACCAAAGTAAATCCACCCCCTTTATACACAGGGATGCCATTTTTCAGTTATTTTCACTGACAATAAAAGCAAAAGAATGTCGTAGGATTCTTTTCCAGAAAATGAAGTATCCACAAAATCCAAAGGTCCATGTCATTTTCTCCCAGCAAAAAGCTGAGGAAGAAGAAGAATTATTATTTTCAGTTTTTGTTTTCTGTTTGATGCCGTATTACTTTGTGTCATTGGACTGTCTTTTTGTTTGCAAATGCAACTTTGTAAATTTCAGTTATTTTCATAAAGTGACAATGACATCCCTGTCTACACTGTCTGTCTGTGGGTGGTTGGCGGGTGCTCTGGTGTGGTTTGCCTCTTTCCAATCAGACATCTATCATCTTTATCTCAACTCCTACTTTTTTGTGTTGTTTACTCTCTTGTAGCATAGCACCTCTTATCTTCGGCACTTATATGACCTTATTGTGTTGCAAGTGTTGTAAAACTCATACAAAAACTGTCCCCCAACACAGGCACACCTGGCACCACGGTCACCACCACCACCACCGCCACTGCAGCAACCACAGCAACCACCGCGGCTGCCACGGGCGCAGGGTTCAGCTTCGGTACCGGCACAACCTCCACCGCCCCTCAGACCTCCACCAGCGGTACGTTTGTCACTTGACCTTGACCTCAGGGTTCCTGCCGCCCCCTTAAATTCAATGAGTCCTTGAAAATTCCTTGAATTTGCTTTCAATGTAAAATTTCCTTGAAAACTCCTTGAATTTGAGGAACCTCCTTGAAAACTGCTTGAATTTCATCGGATCGAACGTGAACAAAATTTTGGAAGGAAAATGGAAATTATGATTCTTGTGGACAAGTGTGGGCCTATCGGAAATAGGCTTTCGGCATGAATTTCTTGACCAAATCTCCTTGAATTTTTAAAATCCTTGAAATCTTGAATTTGGTGGGGAGTTCAAGGCAGCAACCCTGGGACCTTTTTCTCGTCTTGCCCTGTGCCATGTTTTTGTTGATCTGGTCTTACTTTTTCCCTTCGGTAAAATAAGATAAGATACCTTATTATCCCAGAGGGGAAATTTTTCTTGACTGTACAGGGCCGTAAAAACACATGCAGGTATGCATGCAAATTTTAATCGCATTACTCTCTTTAAAATTGGATGTGGAAAAATTGAGCGTTACTGTGTTAATTAACTTAAGTTAATGTGCTTCTCTTGACTTACACAAACATAGCTGCCTATTATTACATGAACAAATGTATTTGTGGGTGGTTGGCGGGTGCTCTGGTGTGGTTTGCTTCTTCTATCCTATCAAACATCTATCGTCCGGATCTTTCCTTCTTTTTTTTGTGTGTTTGTTACTCTCTTATAACAACTCTTATCTTCGGCACTTATATGACTTTATTGTGTTGCGAGTGCCGTAAAACTCTTACTAAAACTAAAACTAAGAGATGTATCTTTTCTTATCTTCTCTTCTCTTATTTCCCTCAGGGTTTGGCTTCGGCTCGGCCACCACCCAGGCTAACACATCAGCGACAGTCGCGGGGACGGGCGGCGGGGGGTTCTCGTTTGGCCAGTCCAGCACCGCCGCGACTGCGACCGCAACTAGCACCGCTGCTACAACGGCTGCCTCGGCCGCTGGGTGAGGATTTGTGTGGTGTCGTAGCGGGGAGAGTGTATCTGGTTGTTGTTGTTGGTGGTGGTGGTGGTGTTGTTCTTCTTCGTCTTCTTCTTCTACGTCTTCTTCTTCTTTGCCCCTTGGGGCGGTGCCACTGACAGCAGTGTCTTTAGGTCATTCCCAAAGGGGGGGCATTTCTCGTTCTTATGCACAGTAGAATTGTAAATGGGCTGATCCAACAATGTCATGCTCATAACTGTGCCTGAACTACAACAGGGAACTGCTGCTTTTTCTTTCCTAATCCTTACTTTCGTCATTTTCCTCTACTTCTTTTGTATGTTTGTCACACTCTTGTGACCCGCTTTGTCCGGGGTGCCTTGATAGTCGAAGCAGACTTTGTGTTGTTGAAGCTAGAGAGGTGAGCAGAGTAAGCCTGATTCCCTGTAAAGATTTCCCTGTTGACATCCACCAGTTGGCGCTCATATGACCTTATGCAGTTGCAAGCGCCGTAAAACCTGTACTGTAAAAAAAATTCTTCTTCTTCTTCTTCTTCTTCTTCTTCTTCTTCTTCTTCTTCTTCTTCTTCTTCTTCTTCTTCCTCTTCCTCTTCCTCTTCTTCTTCTTCCTCTTCTTCTTCCTTTTCTTCTTCTCCTTCTTCCTCTTCTTCTCCTTCTTCCTCTTCTCCTTCTTCTTCTTCTTCTTCTTCTTCTCCTTCTTCCTCTTCTTCTTCCTCTTCCTCTTCCTCTTCTTCCTCTTCTTCTTCCTCTTCTTCTTCTCCTTCTTCCTCTTCTTCTCCTTCTTCCTCTTCTCCTTTTTCTTCTTCTTCTTCTTCTTCTTCTTCTCCTTCTTCCTCTTCTTCTTCCTCTTCCTCTTCCTCTTCTTCTTCTTCCTCTTCTTCTTCCTCTTCTTCTTCTCCTTCTTCCTCTTCTTCTCCTTCTTCCTCTTCTCCTT